GTCCCCCAGAAAATTCTGCTATGAAATTTGTCAATACCTGCCCCTTTATAGCAGTTCGAGGTTTGAAGTGGATGTCATGCTCTCCCAACTCCACTGCCCACTTGGAAATCCTTCCAGAGAGATCTGTCTTTCTCAAAATGGCATTTAAGGGCTGATCGGTGAGGACAGTAATCGGGTGTGCCTGGAAATAATGCTTCAGTTTTCTTGCAGTTGTGACCAGGGATAGAGCGAGTTTCTCCAAGGGTAGGTATCTTGTTTTCGCGTCCAGTAGCACTTTGCTCACGTAATAAACTGGCTTCTGGTGGTGCTCGTGGTCACGAATGAGTACCCTGCTGACGGCAAATTATGATACGGACAAGTGCAGGATGGGCATTTTCCCCTGGGCAGGAACAGATAGGGTCGGGAGAACCCGGAGGTACTCCTTGATTCTTGCTAAGGTGTTTTCACACTCCTGGCTCCACGTATCATTCCCGACCTCCTTGATGGCCCCAAAGAAGGGTTGCATTTGTCCGAGGAGTGCGAGATAAAACGATTGAGTGCTGCCAATATCCCCGTGAGCTTCTGGATTTCTCGGATCGTCCAGGGCTCCGAACGTCCAAGATCACTTGGATCTGATTCGGGTTAGCTTTGACTCTCTGCCGACTCACTAGATATCCGAGAAATTTACCTGACTCCACTCCAAAAACACACTTTGCGGCGTTTAGTTTCAGCTCATACTCCCTGAGGGTGGAGAAAGTATCAGTCAAATCCATCAAGTGGTCACAATTCCTTTTACTTTTAACTAACATATCATCTATGTAGACTTCTATGATGTTGCCGATCTGTCTTTTGAACATCCGATTCATCAGCCTCTAGTACATAGCTCCGGCGTTCTTCAGCCCAAACGGCATGACTTTGTAGCAGTAAACTCCCCTCGGAGTGATGAATGCCGTTTTTTCTTGATCTGAGAGATGGAGAGGGATTTGATGATAACCCGCCCTGGCATCCAGGAAGCTCATCCGCTGATACCCGGCAGTGGCATCCACCAACTGGTCAATCTTTGGTAGGGGAAAGTCGTCCTTGGGACACGCCTTGTTCAAATCAGTGAAATCCACGTAGACACGTCATTTCCCTCCTTTTTTCTTGGCGCAGACCGTGTTTGATAACCATTTTGGGAACTACACCTCCCGGATAGTATTGGCCTCCAGGAGCTTATCGACTTCCTCGTTCACCGCCCGGGTGTGATTTGGTGCCATGCATCGCGGTTTCTGCTTTATCGGCTTGTGCGTCGGGTCAACGTGCAGCTTGTGCGTGATTATTTCGAGGTCCACCCCTTTCATTTCCATTGCGTTCCAAGCGAACACGTCTGCGTTCTGCCTCAAAAAGTCGATCATCTCTTCTTTTTTGGCTACAGGCATTGTGGTTCCAATCAAGAAGTATATCTCCTCTTCACCATCTACTAAGAACACCTTCCGAAGGTCTTCTACTGATCAGTCCGGGGGTCATCCACTCCTGGACGCCCGGACTGTGATTGCTATTTTTTCAGGATTTCCTCCGGGGCGCGTCCCTTCTCTTAGGTGGAAACCCCCGCTCTCACAGCCGAGTAAAAACAGTTTTTCGCTGATGCTTGGTCCCCTCGGATCTCCATTATCCCTTCTAGTGTAGCAAATTTCAATTTTTGGTGGTAAGTGGAGTGCACCGCTCCTAGCGTATGCAACCAAGTTCGCCCCATGATCACATTGTAGGGAGAGTCCGTATCGATCACAACAAACTCGGTGTTGATGGTGAAGGGACCCGTGACGACGGGCAATGTGATTTTGCCTATGGGCAAGGCAAATGAGCCGTTAAATCCGACGAGAGGCGTCCTGACCTTGGTGAGGTCCTTGAGGGCAAAGCCCATCCGCTTTAAAGTCTCCGAGTACATCACTTCGGAGGAACTTTCGGAGTCCACCAACACCTTCTTGACGTCGAACTTGCCTATCTTCAGGGTTATGATTAGGGCGTCGTTATAGGGAGTTACCATGCCCGCCAAGTCTGCGTCGGAGAAGGTGATATTCGACTCGCCGATCCTGGCCCTCTTGCTGAGAGGGTCCCCCTCGCTCTCGACAACCTTTCTTGTAAAGGTCACCCTCTTGAGGTCGGGCTCAAGCTCCTTGGATGTCGGGCGATCCAGTGGACATACATGGATCACGTCTATGACATTGTCTTGCTCCACGACCGGTCCAGGACCACGCCTCTTTTCTGACTTGGGCTCGATGTATTCTTTTAAGTAACTGTCCTGGACCAGCCCTTCCAAGAAAGACTTGTATACCCTGCAATGGCCGAAATCCCGGTGATAGGAACATCTGACCTTTTGATCACGGGTGGAAGGATCACTCTGCATCCTAGGCGGCCACTTGAAGAATGGCTCATGCTTGATTTTATGGAGTAACCTGTAGATGGGTTCTTTGAAGACAGTGTGGACACCTTTAGATGACCCCCCTGGAGGGGGTACCAGCCCCTTTCGGGAGATGTCCCTGCTTCTTTCTCTTTTCTCCTAGGTGGGAGAGTTCTACCTTTGTTCCCCCCCTCATTTCGTCTTCAATCCTGGAGTGTTTGTTTATCTGGGCCATCAATTTGCCCATATCTACGGGAGTCTTCTTAGTCAGGGATTGGTACATGTCCGTGTCCCTTGCCAGGCCGAGCCTAAAGGAAGCGGCTGCCATGACTTCCGAACACCCCTCTACATCATTGACTTCCTCCCAGTACCGGGTGGCGTACTGGCGAAGGGTTTCTTGTTCCCTCTGCCTAAGCGTCAATAATGACCCGATGTCTTTGGGCCGCTTGCTCCCCGTAATGAATCAGGTTAAAAACTGCCTCGCCAACTCCTTCCATGACCCAATGCTGTTGGGAGGAAGAGTCTCGAACCATTTCATCGTGGAATCTCCCAAACTCATGGAGAACACTCTGCAGAGGAGCCGTTGGTCCGAATGATACAGGGACATCATTTGCTTGTATTGCCTGAGGTGAGCTTCGGGATTGGATCGCCCATCATAAGTTTTAAATCTTGGCACGATGAACTTTTTTGGTACCTCCATCTCTCGGATGTCCTTGGTAAAAGGTGATTGCATGGCCTCGTCTTCGGTGTCATCCTGGACAGCCTTGCCCCTTCTCCTGGATTCCAGCCGGGCTCTGAGATCGACTTCCACCTCAGAGGGATGTCTTTTGAGGTTTCCAAGGTCATCGACGGGGCTCGCCTTCCCCGGGCGTCGCGTGGAAAGGGTTGAATCCTCCTCGGACTCATCTCCCATCCCGCACCTTGACAGTCCTCGTCGGAGGTCGTCCCAGGCCAAAGGCCTTGCCTTCTTGGCCTGACCGTCGAGGGGGTGCTCGTTGGCTCTTGGGCGCTTCGGGACCCTGGAGCTCTCAGCTTTGTTGTTTAAATGATTCCTCAGGTCCTCAGTTTTCGCTTCCCGGACGGGGCGTCTGCGGGAACGGAATGAGTCCCTCAATCCTTCGCCGGAGGCGGCAAATTCGTCGAGCCGGCTTAGGACATTCACATTATCTTTCTCCAACTGTCGTAGTCGATCCCCAAACTTTTCCTCAATCACCTCTGCCAGTTGACGAGCCAAGGGGGCGGATCCCCCTGACCTAATGCCCATACTGGTTTGAGGAGTATGCCCCTTTGACTGAATAGAAACGTTCCTAGTGTCATTAGCTTGATCTCTCCCCCCAGCATGACGAGGAGCTTGTAACTCGAGATTCCTTTGCTGGGGACCTTTACCTTTCTGTCGAGTGTTCACCATGGTCATTGTTCTTTCTAGAGAAGAAACTAGGAAAACCAGTCCTTTCCCACAGACGGCGCCAGATTGTGCGTGCAAGATCCTGCGCAATACAAATACTAGAACAGATCTCTCCTGTAGTGAACACGTGCCCGTCGATCTTGCTACTTGGAACATGTTGTGAGGATCGGAGTTAGATAATGAATCGTTTGAACGAATCGCTTGAGTAATCCCGGAAGGTTAAAGGAGGTTCCTGGAACAAAGGAAAACAGGTTAGAAGGGCGCCGGAGTGTTTTTTCGGCGTATCCCCTCCAACGATCAAGTCAGTGCTTTGAGAGAGGGGAAGAAGAAAATACTGTATGAGGTTGAGAGAGGGTTTATTGCATACCCCTTTTTTTGTGTTGATGAGGGCTATTTATACCTTAAAAACGCATCATTGCTGACATTGTAGCTAGTAGGTAATCATTGGGGGTGGGCAGCGTGCACACCAATCTCTATGAGTAATAGTCTTATTATTTACTGCTTGGGACCCCGAGCAACTAATGCTTCCTCCTCGGTCCACCGAGCGTTTAATGATCTTCTCTCGGCGGGGGTATATTAAATGCTCAGGCTTTGGTACATTTATTACCTTTCACTTCCGAGCTCTCATGCATTAAATGTTGTCTCATCAAAGGAAGGGTACATTTAATACTTGCTTTCCCAAGTCGTGTGTCAGCAAGAGCATTCTGGTCTTTTCGTCTCTGATCTGACACAATATGCCACATGCCCATTCCCCTTTGGTTGAGTCTTCTGCTTCCTTGTGCCTCCTGACACCATTTGAGTAAGACGAGGTCATGATAGCTAGCCTAGCCTTGCCTAGGCTAGCGATCTGTCCATCAATAGCCCCTACATGTGCAGAAACGCCCACGTGGATAGATACCCCTCGGTGCCGAGGGTCTTAGCACGACTTAGGACCGATATACCCAAACTACTGAGGAATACGTGTCAGTCCATGGTGGTTTGGGGATCCTTGATCCCTGTGAATAGCATCCCTCGGGGCAGGGGGGTTAGAAACCGACGAAGACATGTCGGTACCACAGCGAAAGGCTCCTATTGATGCCGAGTATACGCGTCATCATCTGGGAGTGTCGGAAATGTCCCATCAGCTTGGAATGGAGGAAATTGTACTCAGCGAGTCGTCTTGGTATCAAGCTAAGTTGGTGCTCAAGCAGTTCTCTTGTGGCAGTTCCTGCACTCTTGATTGCAATGGGAAAAGCCTGATTATTGGATGGAAAGGAACACCAATCCATTCTCTGTCAACTTGGAAGTTCTTGTAGACAGCAAGACCCCGTAGAAGAAATGTTTTTTCTTGTTCACATTAATAAGGCCATATGTACCAGACATTGTGAGGTTCTTTGCTTCACAGTTAATCGAATGTTTATATCCAAGTCGCCTGTAGTGCTCTATGACATGACATGGGTGCGAGAAGCCAGAGGGAAAATCTATGATGGTAATGCTTGTGCCTACCAGAATGTACACTACAGACATAACATGATCAAATACTTGTGATGAACTAGTCAGCTTTGGCATATTGCCTCGTCTTTTTTAAATGTTTTTGTTTTTTCCGATATCTTTTTGCAATGTTACAAAAATAAGTCAAATCTTTGAATGAAGAGGTCCTGCTCTTATAGTTCTAACGTTTTTAGAGGACTAACTTGGGACTTCTTCAGCTTGGGATTGCTTGCACAGGCCTGCACGGAAAGTTTCATGGTATAAACTCATTTGGTATTCTCAATTCACATATAGAATGAGCTTTATACTATGGTTAGCTATAAGAGAAAGGCTAAGTACCATGGATTATGTGAATAGATATAAACAGTTGTTGGTGACATCCAGTGTCTTTTGCAGAAGAGTGAAAGAAAGTCCAGCACATCTCTTTTTTGAATGTCCATTCACAGGTGATATTTGGTCGAAGATTATGCAAAAGTGTGGTGAAAGTTGTCAACTATGGCATGGCCCCGGTTAATCCAACCTTTAGCAGAGAGTAGTGGAAGGAAAAATCTCTTAGAATTACCAGCTTAAAGCCATGCCTTGCAGCCACAACGTATAGCTTATGGAGGGAGAGAAATGGAAGAGTATTTAAGAATGTGTTTAAGGATGCAATATCCATTTTCAAGGAAATCTTTAATACTGTCCGCAGCAAGTTGATTACTGTCAAATACAAATGCAATAAAAACCCCCAGAATCTCCAACTTCTGCAGATGTGCCAAATTATTCCATCTAGTGCTTGGCCTAGTGGAGTAACCTTGACAGGAGTGGTCTGTTTTTTTTTATTTGTTTTGTATAATTAGTCAGTGCACACGTTCGTTACATGTAGATTATTTTGAGTTATTATAATTTTTATTTACTATTTTTATAATAAAATATTATTTGGTCAAATTATAGTTAAATGATCATACTGGAATTTTTAAGAATGTTGTGCTCATGTGTGTTGCATATGAGCTTTTTTAAATTAGTATAATAGTTTGTAGTTTTTTTAAGGCATCTTACAAATATTAAAACCTGTACTTTATTGTAAATCTGTAAACTGATGACTTAGTTGCATAGTGGAGGTCAGACCAAATACAAGAAATTAATTATCACAATACAAATTAAAACAATCAAGGATAACAATTTATACGTATGATAAATAAATAATGATGCATAGATCTAAAATTTTTGAAAATTTTGAATGGGCCAAGACCAATAGTTCAACCTGCAAATTGACTGATGAAGAGTGAAATTCCCTTCTTCAAATTAAAAAGTAGCATACGTACGAAACTTTAAAAAACTGTTTAAGTCCCCTTCTTCAAATTATGTACCACAACCATACTGGTGAAAGTCAACCAAAGCTAATTAAAATATCCAACAAACATCTCCACTAAAATGTTTGGTTGTAATTCATATTCGTGACAATTATAACACTATTTTTTATTGTTATTACTCTAAACAAGTAATTTATTAGACTTTTTAACAATAACCAAATTCTAATTATTATTCTGGATACTAGTACACATGGTGTGTTTGTGTTTGATTTGTTCGTGCAAGTTCAATTTTGTTGGTATCATAAAATTTGGGATGAATTTGCAAAAAAAAAAAAATTATAATAGATATCAGTGGAAGAACAATACCACAAAAAGTAGAGATGCACCAAACGTTGAGATGCAAAGAGAATTGAATGCATGGAGTAACGCATGCTAAGAGCAGCAGAGAAAGACATGAAAAAAGAGGGGAACATTAAGGATTTTTGGAAGAGGAAAAGAACAGAGAGAAAGATGTTTATTTGGAGTGAGAGAAGATGAAGATGAAACGATAGGGGAGAGAGAGAAGATTGGGAGGCCTAGGTTTAGTCTTTTTTTTTTGGGAACGTGAGGCAGCTTAAGTTTATTTTGGCTCTAATATTAAGGGATAATAATGAAATAGTTGTGATTTCCGAGCATAAAAGTGGGAAAAAAAAATGTTTTCCAAATTTGTTTATTTTCGTATTGATATAGATGTAGAGCCTAATCTGAAAGAAATTCTGTGCAACCAACAGAACTACTAAAAGAATAGACTCATTTGGTCTTTTTTGGCTTCAGTAATGCTTTATGCAGAGCTGGACTGACTATGCCTCACAGATGTATTTTTTGGCCACTTGGGTGGTTGTTTTTTTGCACAAATTATCAAATACAATTTACTTACCCAAAAAAAAAAACTTTGGACTATTAACCGATCTGTAGTTCTATATATGAGTCCCATCACTTCCAAGGATCAAGCTGAATGTTTACTCTCGAACACGACTTAAAATTTCTATTGGCATCAGACCTAGCCAATACAGATGTTACAACCGGCTATATGCAGATTTTGAGTTTGAAACGGAAATATGTATTATTATTCATTAAGCTACATGAGTTTCAGATATTCTCCAACCTCACTATAGCGAAGGAAGAACCAGTTTCTTTCCTAAACATAAACAATGTTCTTTATTGATACATACCAATACAAAATCCACATACAACACACATTGATCATCCTCAACAGAGGCAAAAAGGGAAGAAAAAAAAAGGGAAAGAAAAGATGGACCCGTCAGATCGAATTGAAATTGGTTTGTCCCTCATCCTATGATGTAAAATCTGCCTCAACTATGGCATGCTTTTTCCTAGGGTATCCCAAACCAATTATGTGGTTCAAATACACCTTGCCATCCTTTACTGTTGCTGCTGTGGTCAACCGATGCATCGGCCCCTGGAACTTGCCAACAATGGTAGCTGTCTTCCAGTCATCAGAGCTCTCAACCAATTTGGTAGGATTCCCTGCAACTACAAGCTTAGTCGAAGACAAGAGCTCAATCCCATCCCCAAATCTCAGTGAACCACCTCCCACTACATTAACTACCTTAATTTCATCTCCCTTCTCTATCCTGATCTTAAATAAATCGCCAGAAAAAGTATGAAGGACTAGTAAGTATCCATTGGGATGGTAGACGATTCCATTGACTCCAACTATGCTTTTGTACCACTCTTTCGGAGTGAAGAGTGGGCTTCTTATGACATACAGGAATTCTCCATTTGCTCCCACCTTCCAAATTTTACTCCCTTTGATATCAGTGATATATGAATTACCTTCTGCATCAACCACTGCATCATCTGCAAAGGATTTGTCATCCCCTGCATGATCGGAAAAACAAGACATTGTCACAATTGTTTTCGGCATCATATGGATAGAAAAATATAACGAGGTGTTTTCCAGCAGAGTACACTAGTGCACCATGAGCAAGCAATTTGACTTTCATTCCAGATAATGGATTATTTCCAATACTAACGCAAGCACAGTTAGTATATAGTCATATCTAGCTGGCTTGACATTTCTAGTGACCTGGTGTGTACAGGGGTCAAGTGCCAGGATTTCAGAGATTGACTGTGAAACGTATGGATGAAAAATTGACCGGCTGAATTAATGACTTTCAACGAACTTTACCATGGTTCTCTTATTAATGAAATTCCCTATCGTCAGTCATGGAGTAAAAGATTGAGGCAAACTTGGGTAGAGGAGATTTGGCTGAAAATCGGCCATACAAGTCCCAGCAATGAGGTTGAGTCCAAGATCTCAAAATTCTAAGGCACAACTTAAATATAAAATATGGAAAATGTTACTTGGACTTAAAAAACTAACTTTGATTTGTTGACTTAATCAATCACGACCATTAAATAAATAGTGGATCCCAATGAATACTGAAACACGTAGTTAAATCAACGACAGTAATTAATCAAGTCAACAAATCAAGTTAGTATTTTAAATCCATGTACCATTGCTCATAAAACATAGACCACCCGAAACATCATCAAAGTTTTTCTAAATTCATTGTTCTATCAAAGGGTAGTTTACAAATGTAAATTGGTTTGAGATCCAATGCACGGTGCATTAGTTTGGTGAGCCCACCCAAATGGACCTTCAACACAGAAACATACATATTTCAGTAAAGACATGCAATTTAAGGGCCCCGTTAGTGGTTGAAAATTGACCACTTCATCAGTTGAAAGGGAAGTTGTACCAACAACTTTATGTACATATAACTCTATTTACACTCCCTGTTTCAGTTGAGACATTTCATTTTGTCTTACACAGATGTGGAGGCCTGAAATTTCCTATACATGGTCATATCTGACAACAAAAACATAAAACAACAGGCAACAAAAGGGGATGATCGTCTAAGTTGTTGAAGAGTTTGGTTCTTAACGTCTTCTGGGTGCATTGTGAACCTAAATTCCTGCAAACCCCTATAAAATCCATCCTCCTACCTACATAACTTAATATAAACGTAGAAATGGCCTCCATAAAGGGTGACAAGACACATAATAAGAGACCACATGCACATCCCCTTTAGATTACAACAGACATTTACATGCACATCCCCGTTAGGTTACAAAAGGTAGTGATTCTTGGTGTAGCAGCAAAAATTGACTGGTTTTCTACCTTGGTCGACATGAGCTTTTGTAAAATCAGTCAATGAGAAATATTATGTCATTTAGTGTCTATGCCAGATCATATACATAGACGGCGGGTCTTGGCGCAAGCTAAGGTTACTCCATTGTAACCTCTAGAGGTAAGACCGCATATATAGACGAGAGGCTCGTGCACTTAGTCCGTTAGATCCTATACATTGGCTGAAGTAAAAACATAATAACCTCTAAAGGTGGAATTAGAGTAGAAACCATTCAATCTCTTTGAATCATTGGGGAAAATAATGCTGATTCAGTAGCATTATATTTATGAATTGGGAGTTCAATAATGCTCCAAACAAAAAGAAAATTGAATTAAACAGTTTTTTTTCTTTCTAATCTTTGACCAATCGTAAGCGTACCTGGGCCACTGAGTTGAGTGAGAAACAATCGGTTCCAATTGGTCAAATCGTAGGCCGCAACAGCACTGTACCGATTACCAATCACGTCGGAGACGGCCAACACTAGCCGATTCCTTGGCCGGTCGATGGTGAAGCCGAGCGAGGCGTTTCCCGCCAAGTCAACGTCTTTGACTAGCGGAACTTCCTCCAAGACGGTTCCCGGTGAGTAGTCGCTGGGGAGCGAAACCTGACCTATACCGCCCTCGAAGAAAGAGACGAGGAAGCGACTGTTAAGATCGTCCCACTTGCCGCACTCCCTGAGCCACCCATTGCTGTGGTACTCGTACACATGGGTGGTTGGCTTGGCTGTTTCGAGGTGTATAATGAAGGCGATGGGAATAGCTGATACGAGCAATAGAAGCAATAAAAATTTCATAGAACAGAAGAAGGACGCCATGTGTGTGTGTGTGTGGGTGAACGAGAGAGAGAGAGAGGGGTACGAGGGGGTTTCTATATGGATACCTTAAGAGCCAGAGTGAATTATGGTGTGATATTTCTTTGACCGGTTGGTGAAGAATGCAGTCGACTTAGACGGAGGTGAGAAATGGAACATCAATGGGAAAAAAAAGATATGTTATTTTTAGTTAGTTTTATTAATTTTTATACATTGAAAACGATGATTGTTGATTTTTTGTTGGAGTCTTGGGTTTACCTGTGAATAAGTTTCTTCGATATGTTTTATTTATGGAGGGACAATCAACGAGGGAGCGGATTCATGACTTTAAGATACCTTATCTTGTCCTGGACCCCCGCTAGCGTGTAGAAGATACTATACATACTATAAGTGAAACTTTAGGGAGTCTATGTGTAATTAAATATCGGACTGTTTCTGTTACACTACAAACATGAGGGGTCTTTGTGTAATTTAAGCAGGACACCACTTGCTTTGGCTTGACAATCTTCCAGCTAAGCGACCCAACCTGTGGGAGTAAATATTGTATTTAACGGTGATATTATGTCACCATTGAAGATATGATATCATTAATTAATAATAAAACTTCAAATAAAAAATATGAATCCCACTTAAACTTACATAGTAGAAGAGTGGAGAGTTTTTTGTTTACATGACAGGTTAGTTATTGATTTTTATAAAGTCTATCTATTTATTTGTTTTATTATTATTGGCTGGTGATACCACATCACCTTGTTACGTGGTATCACCGTTACCCGAGCTATGCACTGAATTTGTATTTTATCACCTTCCATTATCTATTTCACTATCTTTTCATCTATTTTAACTCACCATCCCGTCGTTTAAAGAGTAAAAAAGTTAGACAAATAATTATAAAATATTAGAGTCATAGAAAGTAAATTTTTTTATAAAAAAAAATTAATTGAAGATTTATTAATTAGTAGAAGGGCGGTTATGTCACATGGTGAAATATAATTAAATTAAATATATTAAAATAAATCAAAATTTTTAAAAATTGAGAGAATAAAAAGAGAAAGTTTTGTTTATCTCAACTAATTTGTTTGTTATATAATAGAGTATAGATACTGCCGATAGGAAAAAGAGTAAGTTTTGGTGATTTTTTTTATTAATAGTTAATCATGAGTTAATTATAGTTGAATCTCCACGTACAACAAACTATCCACTCCTCCATAACTACTCTTGACTATGCACCAATCTTCTCTAGACATCAGTCTCACTTTTTTCTCTCATTATGCATCAACAGTTAATACGACAAAAAAAAATGCTTCAAGTATGGGTTACACGTATGTTAAATTACAGATCTATCCCCTATACCACGAAAACTAAGGTCAGTTTGATTGGTTTTTTAAACAATTTTTTATTCTCAAAACTCTTAAAAAAAAAAAAGAGAAGTTGTTTTATTTGAATTTTTAATTTTTTAATTTCCAAAAATAGAGGAATGTAAAGAAAAAAAAATAAGAAACAAGTCGAGCTTATTTTGAGTGTTTTGGAGACATAAAAAACAAAAAAGAGAGAAAACACAGAGAATACCCTCTCTGTCTTTTTAACGAGTTCTCTCATTTGAACTTCCTCAGCATCAAAATAGATATTACTATAAAAAAGATTTTTTTTTTTTTTTTGTCTTTCTCCCTCTTTTTTTCCTTTTCTCAAGTCTTTCTCTCTCTTTCTCTCCACTTCGGTTAAACCAAACGAAAACACACATTGTCTTCTGATGAGGTCGAATTTTATGGGCTAGGCCTAATTCAAATAAACTGGGGAAGCCTAAAAAGAACAGGGTCAACCCATTAAAAACGAAGGCATCAAGAATTCAACACCCGAAACCCCAAGGCCAACACCCAAAGCAGGGAGGCCCCTTGGGCGCCTCCTCTTCTTTACTCCTCTTGGTTTCGGTACAATTCCACCCACACCAACTCGAAGCCCAGGCTCAAGATCGAGTCCAAGATCAAGATCAATCCAGTATCTCTCTCCGAGTAAATAGAAGTACGAGAAAAAAAATATCGAGATGGAGATTAAGTCCTACTAAAATGGAACTTACCAAAGTGATAGAGACCCCATTTATCACGTCATTGTCTTACCGCCTTACCCTAGTTATATAATGTACACTCTCTCAATATTGAAGAGACACTTGGAACGCCTCTAAAGCTTCTATTCATCTCCTCACACACACTGCTCTCTCTTTCTCTCCAAAGCACTGTAATACTTACTGGAGAATACTCCCCCCGCAACATTGTTCATTAATGGAACACCCCAGGCCATCGTTGCTGTTCCCGAGAGTGGAGTAGGTCACCCGGACCGAACCACTATAATTTTGTGTCTGCCTTATTTACTGCTTTACTTTTAATTGTCTATTTATTGCTCATTGATTGTTTGTTAACCGCATATTAATTACACTCTTGACTATTGATCTTGTACAAGACCAATTTGTGCATCATCATCTTCTTCAACGATCTCTGGTGAAAAGCATTGTCTTGCGACACACAAACATAGTGTCTTCAAGCCTTTCTCTCTCTCTCTCTCTAGTGTCGACTCCAGATTTGAGTTTTCCCCTGCAATCTTTAGCGAAAGCGTTTTCAGCATTTTTTTGTCAAGTATCCTTTAGATCTGAGTTGATCTCCTTTAGATTTGGGTTAATCTTCTTTAAAATCAAAAATAAAAATATAATTTTGTCTTAAAAAAATCATAATTAGTATACAATTATACTGCCTAAAATATAATTTTTTATTTTATTTTTTTGCATTTGTTATTGAGGACTTTGTGATGTTGTCTATGAGTTTTGAAATTTAAACTTGTGAACCAAATAATTTGGACATTATAATAACATCTGACGATATGTGTTTATAGAAAATAAAATATATTAATGATCTGTGTTTTACTGTACATGTCTGACAACTTTATGCTTAAGGAGAAAAAGATACATTAATGATATGAGTTTTAGTTTACCTGTTTGACGATTATTGTATACCTGTTATTTTTTAAAAAAAATTTACTGCTTACTTGTTATTTTTATTTTTTTTAGGGAAAATTTCAACCACATTCCCTCTAGTTTATTATATCTTCAAGGACACTCCTTTATTTTATGAATCTTCAGTGACACCCCTATAAGATTAAAAATATTAACTATAATACAATTTTACTAAATTACCCATGATATATTTGAAGATAAATTTCATCCACATCCCCTCTAGATAAACATATTTTCAATGAAATTCTCTCTATTTTCTAATTTTTTTTACATATTAAACTTCGAATCGATTAAAATTTGAGCCGCTTAAAAATTATATTTTTTACTTATTAAAATTTGGGTTAATTAAAATTCTATTCGAGCCAATTAAAAATTATTTTTAATCGACTCAAATCAAATTTTAATCAACTCGTATTGAATTTTAATTAGCCCAAATTTTAATACATAAAAAATATAAACATTAATTGACTCAAATTTTAATAAATCGAATTTTAATTGACATAAATTTTAATAAGTAAAAAAATATAAATTTTAATCGACTTAAAAACGAATTTTAATCGGTGCTAACAACTCAGGTAGAGTTATAATCGGCTCAAATTTTAATATGTAAAAAATAAATTTGAATAGGCTCGAATTTTAATACGTTTAAAAAAATAAAATTTAATCAGCTTCAATCGAATTTTAATTGATTTAAATTTTAATATGTGAAAAAATAAATTTTAATCGACTCGAATTTTAATAAAATTTTATGTAGAAAAATTACTTGAGGTTTATGTAGGGGCATTTTTGATATTTTAAATGATTTTTTTTGTTAAAAATAGTAGTTTAATGGTAAGAGGTGTTAATAATGTTTAAATATAAATTAAAAGAAGTGTCAATAATATTTTTGATATTAGAGGGAGTGTCCTTGAATATATAATAAACTAGGAAGGATGTAACTGAATATTTTTTTTTTTAATTACTTACTTGTTATTTTTTGAGTCTAAAGTGTATATATATATTTTTAGTTGCGTACTTATTTTTTTTTAGCATGTCTTATAATTTGTATTTATAGAAAAAAATATATATTGTAATGACCTAACTTTTTATAATAAATGTTTAAATTAGGTATGACATTTATCTATATTTTTTATAATTGTAAAAGTTATTAGTTATTAGTTATGTTCGTTCCTCTAACTTCTTAATAAGCACCTAATTCAAAAAAAAATTAATGAGTGGATTTTTTTTTTTGTTTTTTTGAAATCTTATTATCCCTCGCTAATATAAGGAGCCAACTGGATATGGTCGTCAATTTACAATAATGTCTCCACCAATAATAATCTCAGACAATTTACTCCTCTCAACAGACAACGGGACCCTTTACGTAGTGGTTCACCCTACCTTACCGGTAAGAAATATTATCTTTCGTCTTCCTATCCGATACTTTGCGGAAGAATTTTTTCTTGACCTACCCTGTCCGATCAGGTGTAGTATTCATACTCAACTTCTTACACTAATAATCGGATAGGAAGTCGGGTAACCATTTTTGTAGTTAATAATTTTAGATCATTTTAACAATTCAATTAAATAACATGTACCAATTTAACAACAAAATAAATCAATAACACTAAAATTTAAAACAACTACAACAACAATTACAACAAAACATAAGAAAGCATGAACATCAATTCATCACAATTGTTACACAAATACAAACAATTATTTTAAGCTTAAACTATATGAAACACACTAAAATCATAACTGTTCAAATAGTTCACCATAAATCATGTTACTTACAAAAAAAACAAGTCTATATTTTGGCAACTCTAATATTCACAACAATGACAATGCTATAATATAAATTATATTAAACAAATACTCTTATAATTATTAAAAAAAATATAAAAAAATTAAATATAATTTTTTAGGGATTGAGTAAGATAGTATTCTGTATTTCTATCCAATTTAATCATAAGGCAAAAAACACTAACGTATTTCTATCCAATTTTTGTGGGGGGCGGTAGGGGTAAAGTTCGGTAAGATAGGAAATTGCAATCGAAAATTTGAGCACTCTTATACACTGACCTGTTCCCACCGTTTCTGTTTAGATGAGGAAGAGAACTGAACCCCAGAGAGAGAGAGAGAGAGAGAGAGAGAGAGAGAGAGCAGATCTGCGATTGAAGCTGATGATTGAGCTATCCGCGGACGAAATCTCACCGATCTGAACAACCGGAATCGCAGAACCGATTCCGATTT